AGGGGAATGTTTAGGGAAGGTGGCCTAGCCATGCCATTCCTGGAAACATTAATGGGTCTCAGAAATGTACATAAAAATTAAGATACATTGGTATGTATACATTCACAAATAAATATTACATACACATAATTTAATCTAAAATACATAAAGCTTTCATCCTTCCAAAAAGCTTTTGAGATTGTGGAGCCCCTCAGCTGATATGCTCCTCCTGAACCCACGGAACCGCTTAACTGTGCTTTGAGGTGGGGCCTCAGCATGGAAGCAAATCATCACAATTGTTAAATTATCAAATGAACCCCTTTTAGAAGCCTCCTCCACCACCTCTTTACAACACTGCCTCACATCATTGTGTTCTTGGAGCCGCCTCCTCGCAAAATCTATTGCATTTTGGCTTGTAAACACCTCCCATAGACCGTCACTTCCTATCACTAAAAACTCATCCTCTTTTGTCAATGTTATGAGCTTAAGTTCAGGTTCGGCGATTAGAGGACCATTGGCTCCATTGCTTCCTTTCTCTCTCTTCATACCCTCGAGGTGCCAATCTCCAAGGGCTCTTGTAACACTAAGCTGACCATTGAGGTAGCCATCATCAATATACCCACCGAGAGATTCGACGCGCTTTCTTTCTCTTATGCAGCCTGGCCTGTGGTCCTTTGACATTTCGATTGCTGTCCCAGAGCGGGAGAGCACAGCCCTGCAGTCTCCTGCATTCGCTACAAGAAGGGACCTGTTCACCTTGGACACGACAGTTGTCTAACTCAGCTGTTGGCCGCTAACATGAAAGGATAGTGTTAATTATGTCTATGCCTCTGCCTCTGCCTCTCTCTCTCTTTCTCTCTGCTGTGTGCATGCATTTAAATATTTGGAGATTGAACTGGACTACACACACTCTCGTGTGTCCTTGTGTACTCATGTGCATGTGTTGTGTACTCCCGGAGTACACACACTCTCATAAGTAATGTGACACGCATGCATGAAGCACAAGAAATTATGTGGACTCCATTTTCCACGAGTTTTCCCTGCACCAGAATCTATTGATTGGTGAATTGTTTGCAGACGCTAGGAGCTGCATCAGTATTCACTTGAGAAGAGAGGAGCCAAGAGTATCTTGATGCCTATTATTTGTTGGTTGGTGATCATCGATTCCTCCCACCGCCTTCCGCCTCTTGTTGCATTGATTTTTAATACATTTTCCATTTTAATTTTATTTACTTATTCTCGTCTTGCCATTTATGTTCATTATCTCACTTGAGATTCTACTCATCCATCTCCTGTTGTGCCTTGCACTTCCTTTTTCAGTTTGTTGCATTATTCGTTTCTTCAGTTGGCATTTCTTTCGTTTTCCTCCAATCTCCCTTTTGTGTCCCTTTTCCATTTGTAGTTTTCTCATAAATAATTTCCTTTTTGGTTGCACTATGATCCGCATTACCATGGTAGTAGTATGGTCAAAAGAGAAATCACCGAACAATCAATGGGATGGACACTGATGGAAGGAGTGCAGGATATAGACCCTCTCTCCCATTATCAACACCCAAACCATAAACGGGAAGGTGATGACCCCTACCATAATCATATGGATCATGGTATGTTTTTCCTTGTTTATCACCATCTTTGAGAATTGCTTTATCATGACTCTTTTTAATTCCTTTTTCCTCCAAGATTTGAATTGTTTATACCATGCACGTACAACAAGAAGCATAAAACAGATATGCATGCTTACATGTGTGTCTACAGGCTTGTCTATGTGTGTGCACGCGCACATAGAGAGAGAGAGAGAGAGAGAGAGAGAGAGAGAGAGAGA